TTTTTTAAAAACCAAGTAACAATGTCAGAAATATTTGAAAGTAAAATAAATAAATCGGCCTATAATAAAATGGCATTGACATTAGTTGAGGATAGTCTGTTGTGCAATAAATGGATGCATTATATACAAGGCAAAGTAGAACTTTCACAACTGGTGATAGTGGTAAGGTCAAGATTTACTTCTTGGTGTAAAATTGGCACAGCCCTATTTTTATCTGTGAAATGTTGAAGGGTCCACCTCGGTGGCTACAGTGGAGACAAAGTTGAATAGGGCGACTCAGCAGGTTCTCACGATTTATATCAGAATGTACTGTGTCACTTGACAACATGCTGATTAAGCCAAAGCACAGCACATGACAAAATTGCAGGCCTGTTGGACACGACAGGAACCATCCTCATCACCCAAAGGGAGAAAGTGCATCACAAAAAATCAACTGAACACAGAGATGCATAAAATCTCCATTCACAGATTTATAGATCTAGATGCATAATGTTATTCCTTTCATTATGGGCTGTCAAGTTGCTTCTGACTTGTGGTGACCCTAATAAGTAATGACTGCTAAATGATTCTGTTATTAACTATCTTGCTCAATTGGGTTTTTTTTCTCTGTGATTCTGTCTGTGGAGCCAGAGGTTGGGAATTTTTCCCCCCACTGTGCCTCCTGCAAGTAGAGCCAGCCTAGGTGGCCTTGGGCAAGCTGCACCGTCCCAGAGCTGCCCCCAGAAGAAGAGAATGGGGGAAACACTTCTGAGTATTCGCTGTTTGGAAAACCCTGGGGAAAAAAATGTCATCGTAAGTCAAAATTAGACATGGAGATGAATAAAAAAAGGATTGCAATATTTGTGAGAAATTGCTGGTTCGTTAAATATTCATCCCTTCATATTTGTCAGTTCCAGAGACCACTACGAATACGAGGGGATGAATATTTCCCCATTTTTCTTCATTCCCCGTAGGAAGAGAGGGAACCTTCCCCCCTCGTTTAAATCCTCCACAAATTGATGAATAAATTTGTGCTTTGTCAGTTCATGGGGGGTGGAGCTTCATGCTTCGTGATTCGTCATCTTTGATGGATTATGAAGCAGGACGACTTGCCAAAATGGTGAGTTGTCCCCATTGCTAGTCAGAATTGACTTGATGGCACATCATTATTATTAGCTGGCTGGACAGCTCGGTGATTTAGATATCTGGCTGTGGAGCTATAAGTTGCGAATTCAATTCCTCATGAGGTGTCTAGGGAGAAGACTCAGCCCGTGTAGCCTTGGCCAAACTTCACAGTTCCTGGGCACCCCCACAGAAGAAGGGAATGGTGAACCACTTCTGAATATCCTCTATCAGGAAAACCCTGAAAAAAATTAACTTAATGGCACATCATCATCATCATCATCATCATCATCATCATCATCATCATCATCATCATCATCATCATCATCATTATTATCGTCATCGTTGTTGTTGTTGTTGTTGTTGTTGTTGTGATGATGATGATGATGATGATGATGATGATGATGATGATGATGACAGTACTGGCATGCAAGGAGAAAACACTGCCGTTTTCTAGCTTCCTCCTTTCCAAAATGTTTCCCACCACCATGTCAGCCAAGGTTCATCCATCTGCCAGTCAAACGAAACCTTAATGTTGAAGATGATTGTCCTAAAATGTTCCCCAGATTCTTCTCTGGTGATTCATTGTGGAAGATCAATAGTGGCAGGTCATGCATTCTTCTAGTTGATCTTGCTCTAATTAATAAGCTTTAAGAACCGCTGAGCCTAATGAGAAAATGGCAGAACATATTTGACAGTATTTGATGTGCGATAATGCCTACTGTTAAACTGCAGCACCAGCAGCAAAGGAGGGGGTGGCGGAATGGGAGGCAAAAAGCAAGCTCACACAGACGTTGTTTTAGTGAAGAAAAAGGCCACAACTTGATTTGTTTCAACCGAAGCACCTGGGCGCAGGATAGAACAGCCCTCCAGGCACTGACTGATCTCCCTCTTAACTGATGTCCTCTGACGGACGGATCATCACACTCCACAAGGGAAAAACAATGCAGGGAGGTGGAGTCCACATGGGTACCAGCCCAGTATAGTTCCAGAGTCATAACTAGCCCATTTTCTGCCCAAGGCAGGAGCGTAAAATTGCACTCCTCCTCCTTTGATGCTCTTTATAAACAGCAGAGAGGGGTGGGGAGTGGAGAGGGTGGATCCATGAATGCATAGGATACCAAACGAGTTCTGACATTCACAAGGCTTGGCTCCATTTGGATTTTTTAAAAATCTACCCTCTTGCACGGCGTGTCTGGGGCTGTCAATGCATGAAACACAGGCAACAGCCTCCAAACCATGTGCGATCCTGTAAGCTTCCACACACAAACACATACACATGGGGTGACTTAAGAGTATACCCAAAATTGAGCAGAGGGCATGTATGTCTGATGGCTATGGCCAGTATCTATGTTGGAAAATGGCTTATGAGAGTCGTGGTCTAAAAAAGCACCTTCTTCAAGCTAAGAAGGGATTACTATGGGGTGCATCAGAAGATGAGGATTAGGGCTGGGCGTGGGTCTCCTGGTCTGGTTTGGAAGCCAATGTGGGGCTTCTTAAAAGGTCCTGGTCTGATTTAGAACACTTTGGTCTCTGTAACACATTGGATTTTTAAGCCCCCCATTAACTCACACTGGAAAGTCTCTGTATGTCTTAGCCCAGATTTCCTCGGATTTGGGGCACAGCTCCAGATAAGACACTATTTTTTTTCTATGCATGTGTGACCAAGTTCTTAATCGAGCAAGGACCACAAGGATGGGCCTTGGTCTTGGACTTTTCCCAAAGGATCCTGCTGCTTTAAAAGAAATATAGAAGGGAAGGAACAGCATGGCATGGTCAGGAGATAGCTGGAAGGCCCATAGCAAAAAAAATAATTTCAGATTTTTCAGCCTCCTTACAGTGAGTTAACAGACTCTCTGGGTACAGAATAAAGACTACGGCATTCCCATATCAACCAAGGTGGATTTACTGGGATAAAAACCAAAGAAATCAAATATCCTTCCCTTAGCATCTCATTCCATCAGAGGACATTACAAGAAGGTTCCTCTCCCCCACCAACATGTCCTTTTAAAAATAAATAATAACGGAGGGAGGGTCTCCAATAAATATGAGGTAGGGGAGGAATTCAGCGAAGGTATAGTTGTATTTTAAGGAGCTCCAGCATCAGAAGTCAATATTACTGGATAGTTCGAGATGTCCAACCTCTAGTAAGTGATTCCTTGCACATCCCCTGAGAGAAAAAGAAGTTAAGAGTAGGGTTGGATCTACTGTGAAACGAGGGAAGCTTAAGCTTCAAGGCTCCTAATCTTGAAGGCCTCCTGAAGTGACTTTAGTCCTTTTTTTAAAAATTGTGGTGACTTGTCATGAAACAACATCCCCATTGTTCAAGATAACAGTGGTTACCCAGAGCTTGTTGCTGGTTGCAAAGGGACTTTCCATAATGGTCCAAGCTTCAGGTGCCCCCAAAATGTAGGTCTACCACTGGTTAGGAGCGATGGAACTGTTTAGAGGTAGGGGTTTTCAATCCATTCCAGGTTTCGGACTGAATTTTAAGGGAGCGATCCATGACACTGAGCTTATTTTGGGGACAGGGTTCAGCACGCTGGAAAGCTTCTGTAAGATTCGTACACAAAATCGGGTGCAGATTCACAAAGCTGTGGCTGGCATCACCCACTTTCACTGCTTAAGAGGACACAGTTTAGTATGGGCATGAAAAACCAATAGCCCATGATTGCTGGGGATGACGTAGGTCATAGTCCAAAATACCTGGTGTGCAACAGATTGGGGTGCATTGCCTTCTAGAGCACATGATGGTCTGATTAAGAATCTAAAACAGCATGGATGCTGCTGGGTTTGGTTTCTGACGGGGCAAAGCCAATGTGTTACGTTTCATGCTAAGCTTCTGTAAACATCTGCTTTTTTTAAAGCAGATGCTTAACTACATTTAGTACTGCGATTATTGGTGATTTGCAAAATAAATGTGGATGGCGAGAGGGAAAGCTGCTGTTTCAAGAGCATTTGGGGACAGTGGTTGCTTGTTGAACAACTCCATTTTCCTTATTTGTCTTTTTTTTCCCCCTTCCAGGATGAAAAGAACCAAATGATGACCACGAACGTGTGGGTGAAGCAAGTGAGTCAACAAAGATGCTTTGTCTTGTATTTATTTCCCACATATTCCTAATGTCTCACTAAGCAGGGGATGTGACGCCAGTCAAACCAAGGACAGACATTCTCTCTTTTGGCCTCTTCTATATACACACACTCTGCACTCTTTCTCCCCACACTTCCGCCATTTCCTCTCTCTCTGTTTCTCTCTGTTCCTCTTTTCCACACACATATTCTTCTGCACCTTCTCCCTCACATGCACTATACTCTTCCTGAACATTCTTTCTCTCTCGTACACACAAAACCCACATTCTCTGTTTGCTCTCTTTCTCTCCCTTCCACACCCTTCCTGCATTCTCTCCCCCCTCTCTCACACAAACACTACATTCTCCTCTCCACAAACTTTCTTATTTTTTTCTCTCTCAGTCCTTCACACACATTTTCTCTCTCACACACACTCATTTTCAAACTTGCATACCTAATGCCTGCCTTCTCTCTCTCTCTCTCTCACACACACACACACGCACGCACGCACGCACGCACACACACACACACACACAAACACACAATTTAAAAACTCTTGCTGTGAAGATTTTGTGTTCCCTTGCCCTCTTCATCTCCCTTCAGACACTATTCCTGCACTCTCCTAGGTAGCTATTTTTCTGTGTTGTGAATTTTAAAACGCGTTTGAGTTCACAACAACAACAAAATCAAATCCAGGTGATAAACAAATTTTGTTCTTCTTTCCCAATCTTCATCCAAAAGTAAGAGCTGCATTTTGCACACTGAGCAAAGACTTCCATTAGAATTATGGGCTCTCCAAAAAGTCCTTGCGTGTTTACCAGCATCTCTATGTGACCTTGTAAAATGATAGAGATCTTAATATCTGTATGCCTTCCTCGATTACAAAACTGGGCAAGAAATCAATTGTTCAGTTACTCCAAAAACCAGTGGCGGGGGGGGGCGGAGAATACTTATTCAGCACGGATGTTGGCAAGTTTCTGCCTCCCTGAAACTTCGATATATTTATTATTTGACTGTATGAGAACAGGTGACATTTGTTAGAGTAACCAATGTGAATAGTGTGAATTATGCCAATACCCCACTCTACAACTTCTCTCTACTCCACCTCCTGTGTGGGAAAAAAAATATCTGTAAATATTCTTATTCTTTAGCACACTCTCTGAAATTTCTTTCCTGGCAGATAAAATACATAAGCCCACTTTTTCAATTAACTCCCCCTAATTCGTCTTCCTGTAATGCATAAATTTGGGAGAAAATAAGGGCCTAACTGTTCCCTTTTTGAAAATAAATAAACAAGTATTAACAGAATATTTTTTTTTTCACATAACAAGCAATGGGCATTCTGTGCTCCGAAATGTTTCTTGAGGGGAAACATTTTATTGGATGATGTGGCCATTTCCAAGTGTTTAAAATTAATTAAAAATATTAATTAAAAAAGGGAACCAAAAGCGATGTGGATATTTCACATCAGTTGCCTGTAATCTGTTGCAGCAAAACCAGCAAAGAGTTTTGGGATCACTGTAAGTATTTGTGGGTTGTAGGCATCATCATCATCTACCACAAAGTTGGTTCCAACTTACGGTAACGCTTTCCAGGATTTCCTATGTATAAATAAAGCAGAAGTGGTTTAACTGTTCCCTTCAGCAGTGAAATCAAAACAGAGTCTTGAAGGCTAACGAGTTTTATTTGACATTAGCTTTTCTGGACTGTAGCGTGCTACACAGGCTGGCTTTTCATATTCGGCTGAATATCAGGAAAAATGTTTTTCTTCCTCATGAACTGCACAGTTTTGTTTTTAGATTAGTCTTGGTGAGTGCTCCAACACTGGAGGCATTCAAGAGAAATTTTGGGAGATCTTTTATTTGTATTCCTGCGTTGCGCGGGGGTTGGACTTGATGGCCTTGTAGGCCCCTTCCAACTTCATTTTTCTATGATTCTATGATTCACCTACAAGGCACACTGGGGAACTGAAATCCCATTGGGCATGCACTCCTGGTTTGCTGTTTCGTGGCAGTTCGTCCTTTGGATGAACAGTTGTTCAGAGCTTCCCAGCCCTGCCTCCTCTGTTAGGCATCCACTCAGAGGCATCATCCAGGGGAGGCGGGGCAGGGAAGGGAAGGTGGTGCACTGTTTCTACCCAGCTCAGGATGTGACTACAGTGGTTTGAAAGAAAGAAAGAAAGAAAGAAAGAAAGAAAGAAAGAAAGAAAGAAAGAAAGAAAGAAAGAAAGAAAGAAAAAAAGAAAGAAAGAAAGAAAGAAAGAAAGAAAGAAAGACTGACTGACTGACTGACTGACTGATGTAGGGTGTTACTGGGGAACCCTGTAATGTTGTTCTGGCCCTCAGTGCTGGTAATGTTCTTCTTCCTCATGAATTGCACATTTTTGTTTTTGTTGAAATTCACAATTACCCTTCTTAGACTTTTTCAGTTGATGACCCTTTTTCCCCCCAGGAGTGGCATGATTATAAACTTCGTTGGAACCCTGAGGAATATGAAAATGTTACATCAATACGAATTCCTTCCGAACTGATTTGGAGGCCTGACATTGTTCTCTACAACAAGTAAGATGCCATTTTGACTACATTTCTATCTGGACAGCACTTTTAAAAGGATGTTGTGGGACACCCAGAGGTTCCTCTGGGACTTCCCAGCTAGAAGTTCTGTAACAGCTGATAAACTTTTTTCCTCTTAAAAGCAGGCTTTGTTCCATCCCTCTTTCTCTGCTGGGACTTGTTGGTTGTGTTTTGGCCATGGGCAACTTTGATGGGGCTGGAGTCCAAATGTTGTCCCCACCCTCATAGGTTGCCCCAGGACCTCAGACGCTGACAGCTGGTGATGGTAGTGGTGGCAAATTAGAGTTAAACGTGACTGAATGTCTGCTTTCTGTGTTGTTGTTTTTTTAATTGGGCTTGGGCTTTCGAATGGTGGTTGTGACCTTACAACACATCTGGAGGCTTCAGAAGCAGAAAACGCACTGTTTGTTTGCTTGTTTCTGCTTTCCGGGGTATCAGGGATGGCTTTATAGGGCTACAGGGCAGCAAATGGCTTTGGAATGTTTATAGTCTACCATTTTCCCATTACAAATATATGGGAACCATGCAGTCCAATACTCAGAAGTGGCACCTCAAAACTTGTATAAGTTCACATTTTGGGCCACAACTCCAGATTCCCTCAATGAGCATTCCTTCTGAGTCTCCATAGTAACCACACAGCATTTCCCAGAAACTCTAACCTGTCTTGCTGTCATCGAAGACAAGAGAATACACTGTCCTGGTGGGAAGAATGAATTAAGATTTGCTTACCTGTTTGTGTCATTTCGTGCTGTGGGCCAGGATCTTGTCCTTAGCATCATCAAGTTGTAATTTTTTTTACATCATTGTGTCTGGAGAATATGAGGTCACATGAAAATCCTACCTGGTGTAGAGCTTGGTGTTCATGGGTATATCACAGGGGACTGAGTGCCAGAGTGGGGTTCAAGTCCTGTCTGCGTCTCCCAGGAGAAGGGTGGAGATCATCTGTAGCAAGTATATCTGTTGGGGTTACATGCCTTGCTACCAGGGCAGCCTTGGGCCACCTGCAGTGGGTTGCCAGAGGTACCACAAGAAGGAGGGAACCCTTAACCACCTCTCAGTACTTTAGACTTTAAAAAACCTGAGAGGATCACCATATACCCAAATCAACTTGATAACACATCATTCACATTTTAACAAATTGGTTTTCCACAAAAACCAAGCCCCAAACAAAACCCATCTAGATCTATATCTACCTCTACATCTAGGTCAGATACTTAGGGTGGTTTAGTGCAGCGGTCCCCAAATTTAGGGGGGGCTGTGGACCGGCTGGGGGGAGCAAGCTTCATGCATGGGGAGAGGTGGGGGGCACGTCATGCTTGCACGATGAGTGTGGTGCGCTCATGCACATGTGCACGAGTGTGACATGCCCACCACGGGCGCAACACGCCCCCTGCATGAGCGTGACACGCCCACCCCGCATGTATCTGGGGGGGCGCAGAGATCCATATCTGCAACCCAGTTCCAGGAAGGCCACGGACTGGCACTGGACCACGGATCGGGGGTTGAGGACCCCTGGTTTGAAGGAATGCTGTAGACCAATGGTTCCTGACTTTGGATCCCCAGATATTCTTGGACTAAAGCTCCCAGCAGCCTTTACCACCAGCTGTGCTGGCCAGGATTCCTGCGCTCGTGCAGTGGGTGTGTCACGCTTGCACACATGCACACAAGCGTGACATGCTCCCGTGCGTGAGCGCAACACGGCCACTGGGGATGCTACATGCCCCCTGTGCATGAGCGTGACGTGCCTACCATGGGCCACGACATGCCCCCTGTGGGTGTGACCCCCCTACAGGTGTGACACCCCCCCTACGGGTGCAACACACCTGCTGTGCACATGACATGTCCACCGCGGGCACAATGCGCCCACCGCGAGTGTGACATGCCCAGAAGAATCTTTGTGGAGCAGAAGTAGAGGCTAAGTATTGGAGATGCCATTTTGATTGACAGTTGTTTTGAGAAATATCAATCTATCAGTCTATCGATTTGCCTGTCTCCGGCTGGAATTGGCATTGAAAGATAAGGTAGAATATTTTCGATTTCTCATAACTCATTACTCAGTCAGTTTCTCTGAAACCCCACCATGGTGGCAGCTGTGCTGGAGGAGAAGAGAGGTAGCTTGTAAAAGTGGCTATGCAGGCTGTAAAGGCACAGCTTCCTTGTTAGAGGTACTGTGCAATATGAGGTTTGGAAAATGGTCGAGAAACTCAAATTATTGCTTTTATTTTTCTCACTGCGGTTTAATATTAAGAGATCACCACTTGCCTAAAAGCACCCAAGGCACTATCACAATATGTAAATATTCAATACTGAGTATCTGCTTAAAAACCCAACCATTTCAGAATAGGGCATCTTATAAAAATGGAAAAATCAGGGGATAAGCTGTTTCATTTAAAACCACCTGTAATGAAAATGAATTGTTGTGTTTCTTTCCAAAGAAGTTATTCAGCTCCTCTGAAGACTATTTTTTTTCTCGTACCCTCTGCATCGTCTATGGAATTAATAATCTATGAGCACATGAGACTGCCTTATGCTAAATGGAACGCCGGCACTTTAATATTCTATGATTTGTCCCTTGGACCAGAGCCAAAGAAAAGGAAATATTTGCTTCTGCAATCTTCTCACGTAGTGGGTGTTTCTTTTCAATGTCACGGAGCTTTATGCCAGGATTATTTAGCCCGGCGTGATGGATTTATTTTAGTTTTACATTTTGATACTGGCCAGTTTGCAATCCTCCAAGTATTTCATTATTGAATTTCAAATATGTCAAATATTTATTCTGATACGACAAAGTCTGGACTGAAGGCTGGGAGAAATGCATAACAGGCGTGGGTCAAACAGATGCAAACTTTTCGCTCATTCGGGCATTTCTTTCCTATTGGTGTACCTTACAATTCTTTGATGAGAAGTCATTGTAGAAGGCAGCCTTTAAAAATGTCATAATGTAATAGAAAAGTCTCCCAAGGAATCAATCAAAGCTCTGACTTGCATTTGAGCCCTTGAAACTATATAAGGGCCAGGCTCCTGTTTGTGCCATGTTATGTTGGCATTAATGTGCCAATCATTACACCTGGCAGTGAGCAATTGTGTTCTGCAACTGTGCAAATAGTCATGCATCTCCAGCTCCCTAGTGTAAGTGCTTTGGGGATAACATGTCTATCTTACTATAGGCACAACCTTGAGTTTTGTATGCGTAGTGGTGCAAAAGGATTTGGCCAATCTTATATTACTTACAGATATGTGTATGCCACAGATAGGAAAATACTATCTCTCCAAGTCTTTTGCACCAGAACTACAATAGTAGAATATTAGGAACCTGCCTTATACAGAATTCAGTCCTTTGAGACCCATGTGACATCATGGTAAACTTGCAGTTTCCAGATTTTCATTCTGACATCTCCATAGCCAGCCAGCCCTAGAAAGAGAGTCCGTAAAATGTAGGCCACTGGATCTGTGCATATCAACAACTGAAGAGCAGGTCTGTTGCATGGTTAATGGCTCTTAGTTGCCCACTGAAGACCAAACCATTGTCAAATATTTTACATTGCAACAAGGATAGCTTGCAATTGTATACTGTGTTTTTTGGGGAATCCACCTTTCCCAGCAGCTGTACGGATTGCAGCTAAGCTCAAATGGAACAGGGAAGTTTTAAGGGACTGGCAAATGATGTCATAATCACTGCCACTCAGAAAATCCCAGGGGTTCAATCCAGCGAGGCTTGGCTCCACTACAAAACTGTTTGGACCAAAACTCAGTAACAGGAATCTGTGAAGATGCCTTATATTGAGTCAGGTTCTTGACTCATTAAGCTCAGGAATGTTGGCACTGGCTGCCAGTAGCTATTCGGGATTTCAGGTGAGATTTTTTTTCCCTCTTAGTTCTACCTAGAAATCTTTAGCTTTTGAAACTTGATGAGGACAGTGTGCCCAGGGTGAGACTGCAGTGGGAATAATCACCATTAACCATGATCATGACCCTTCATGCGGGCTTATGGATCACCATAACTTAGATTTCAGATAGAGGTATACAAGTCTCATAACTAGGAGTGCTGAGATGGGTGGAGTATATTTTGGTGCAGGAAACAGAGCGGACACAGGATTCAGACAGGGTCAACATTGCAAAATAAAACTAATCCAGGGTCTCACAAAGGGGATTTCACTGGATTTAAACAACACACTTAAAAGAGGAATAATTAGCCACTCCCTTCGTCAAGTGACATGCCTGAAGAGGAAAATCTCTACATGTGAGCAAGAACCCTGATTGTCTGAGCTCTTGCTTGCATGTAGACCCTATGTATGAACAAGAAAGTGTCCTTCTGGGACTCTCCATTCCCCTCAAAAGTGATGATGAAGGGCCTTATAGTTTTGTTTATACACATGTCGATTACAGCTGGGAAGGTGATGATTGGATTGGGCAAGGGTGATTGATGGGAACCACTTTTTCCCCAAACGTTGTGATCATGTCCTAGTTACAAGCAGTCTCTGCTTTTAAGTGCATCTCCATTACATAGTTATCCTTGTAGCTGTTTTTTCTCCACTTTAACTGCTGTGACTCCATCCTGTGGAATTCTGTTACAGATTTTTGAATGGTTTGTTAAAATTCTCTTTTGTTGCATAGAAGAATTACAGAGAGCCTTAAGAGCAGACTAGCTTTGAGTTCCCAGAGAGTCCACTCCTTTTCTCATTAACTGGCACTCAATGAATCACTCTGAGGCATTAGTAGCAGAAAGAATAAAAATGCTTCAGTACTTACCGTTGGGAACAGCAAAACAGCAAACGGAACAACCCGTAAATTGCTAACTGACTTCAACAGAGAGGGAAAAGGAAATCTCGGCAGAGGGGGGGAGCCCTCTTTGAATTCTGAAGCAGGAGAGAACGATGGGTTATTGTTGATGGATTGTCAATCGCCCCAGCTCAGAAAGGTCCCTCCCAGTCAAATAAACTACAAGCAGCATGCGAGGTTATAAAATACTCCAGCAAATTCTGGGATGT